TATCTATATAGGCCAAGACAGAATAGTTGGTTTTGAGTTTGATAAATAAGTAGTTTTTGAGATTGGTTGGCTATGATATTGAAGTTGTATAGCCAGTAAAGGTAGAGTGTATATGCATAATAAGTGGGTCATAATATATATACACTAGAGCAAGGAGGTAATAGTCTTCTCTTGGTTAATACTATTTTGAACTTGATATGAAGAAGTTAGTCCAAAGTTGCTTATAATTTCATTATAGTGATTAATGAGTAAATCAGTAAGAATGTTGATAATAGTTTAGGATAAGGAAAGATAGCAAAGAGATTGTTTAAAGAGATTGAAGTTAACTAAATTATAAGCCTTGCTCATATCTTGCAATAGTAGCCAAAGCTTTTTATGATTACAATTAGCATCTTTGATAAGATTGTTAAGAATGTAGATAGAGATAGATATATTATTGCCTAGTAGAGCAATATAATTAAAAGGTAAAAGGATAGGATGTTGGGAGAAGACTTGATTAAGTCTATTTGTTAAAATTTTAGTGTATATTTTTCTAATGTATTTAATAAGGCTAATTGGTTGAGTAAGGTTGAGGTTTCTATTAAATATATTGGTTTTGGAAATAAGATATATTTTGCTATATTTTTATAGCTTTGGTATTGTGTTTTGAGATAAACAATGGTTAAAAAATGCAGTAAAAACAGTAATGCAGTGTTGGTTCAAGTGTTTAATTATTTCATAGTTAATACTGGTAGGGCCACAGGCTTTGCTATTAGGAAGCTTGAAAATAGTTTGAAAGATTTTATCTTTAGTTATAAAGCTAGTAAGTAGTATATACTATTCAAGATTAATATAGAGAAGTAGTTAGTATTGTTGTTGTCAAGAGCTATTAAAGATGGTTTGATTAACAGGTTTGTATGTAGTTCAGTTTGAAAAGTGTAATTGAATATGTTGTTTAATTTTGGCAGGGTTGATAATGAGCTGGTTTGGGAATTTAATATTGGTAAAGTGTATAGGAGGTTGGTATTGATCAAGTATATATACTGTTAATAGCTTGGATAGATTTTGAGATGAGTGTTTTACACCTTTTTTTGAAAGCCTGATTGATTTGTTGATAAAGATAAAGAGAGTGTTTGAGATGATAAACATGGTAAATTTGTTTCCAAATAGTATATGTATATAATAGCTATAATTGAATATTATGAATATCAAGTGACTAGATAGCTAAAGGTTATATTTAGAATAGGTATTGATGATAAGGATTTGTGAATTAATATGTATGAGGTATAGGTTAGGGTGATTATTGTTGTTATTATTAAAAGTCTTGATAAGATGACTAAGTTTTTTGAGCCCAAGATAAAGTGCAGTATATAGAGGAGTATATTTATAGTTGTAGCTACGTTTTTGTATAATTTTGTTAGAGATAGTTCTGATTGTAGCTTGTGTTATACAATGTTGAAGCTTGTGCCAAGTAGTGTCGATACTCTCCAAGGTATTTGGTGTAAGTAAAATATAGCTTTGTATAATTAGTTGTAAAGTAAGCTCAGAAAATTCTTGCTATTACTAACTAGTGATAGCTTTATAATTAAAGATTCGGTAACTGATATTGGTATGAAGATATGAAGGTTTGCTGAATGTATTAGAGAATATCCAAAAAGTAGAAAGCATAAAGTGGTTACTAAGAGTGCTTGTTTTGCTATTGTCAAGACTATAGGAGAGAAAAAATTATATATTGAAAGAGTTAGTCCAGATGTAGTCAATTCTGCTAGAGTTTATATTATTTGATCAGATATATTAGGTGTTATTAAAATAGGTATCAATATCAAACATATTTGAGTAGTATAAAAAATTGATAAGTTTAAATCTAGGTAATAATTTAAGAGTAGTATCTTGTGTATTAAAGTCACCAAGGATAATAGGCTAAAGATTAAGTTGCTAGGCTTGAAGTATCTAGTTGATTACAGTATTTTGTATGAGATTGTAGCAAGTAGAATTTAGTTAAGAAAAGATAAACAGAAATTATATGGAGTTTGGTGTTGTTTTTAAAAAAAAGGTCTAGTATGATTGCTCTACCAGGGTATATAAGGTAGCTATGAACATGGGGCTTAAGATAGTTATGAACCATAATAGCTACTTTTTTTATAGAGCTTTGGGAGTTGGCTCAGTAGTAAGTGTAGAGGTTGTTATTGCAGAAGGATAGTTTGGTTTTGTTAGAGATTTTAGTCTCAATAATGCAAGCTATAAAAATATTATAATTAATACAGTAGTCTTGCCAGGTCTGTCTTTTAGAAGTAATATTAAAGCCTCTAATATTGTGAGTAGCAATCGTGAGATAAAAATCATGCAAGTTAGAATATTCATATTAAAAGTTATGGGTATGTAATTTGAGTGAAATGTATCTAAACCATTTAAAAGATTCTGAAAAAGAGGTATAAAGTAGTTTGTAAGTATTTGATATTTATAGAGAAGATAAATATGTGTCTCTGTATAATTATCTTCTTTGTTTTTAATGTTGAGTATGGAAATTTTAATATACAGGGATAAGTTGTATAAGGAGAAGTCATATTAGATGTAGTTAAGAAATGATTGTATTGTTTGGGGGTGTTCAAGTAGAGATAGTTTGTAATAAAATAAAAATTTGTTGTAGTATGTTAGTAGATTAATAAGGCCAAGTTGCTTAATTACTTGTATTATTGTTTCAAGTTAAAAGTTGACAAGATCGTAGTCTGTATTAGATAAGAGTTTATAATCAGATGAAGAGTAAGTAGGAGAAGTAGATTGTTGAGAGGATGATATAGTATGTGGATCATAGGAGGCTAATGGTGTTAGAAATGATACCACAGAAGGGTTGTCTTCTATAGTATTCACCATATATCCAGCTTGCACAATTTCATAAGAGCTAGCAATAATTAGGTTATGCATTAGAAAGTTGTTTGAATCTAACTCTTCTGGGTACTTAATAAATTTTTCACTATTTTGAATTTAGATATATATTTAAGATTTAGTATAGTATATATTTTACTATAGTATCTTACTATATATAGTACTTTACTATAGTATCTTACTATAATACTTTACTATAGTATCTTATTATAATACCTTAGTATAGTATCTTAATATAGTATCTTAGTATAGTATCTTAGTATAATACCTTAGTATAGTATTTTAGTATAGTACCTTGATATATTTTACCAATATAATAGTAGTGTTTTTTTAATAATTCTAAAGCTATATAAACTCTATCTTTTTCCCTAAGGTAGGTTAGATCCTGGAAGGTTCTGTCTCTTATTTTCTTAACTTTATATCTAATAAATATTACTTTTTTAACTATATACTTGTTATATTATAACCTCTTTTTTTATTGCCTTTTTATTATTATTTTATTGTTTTTTGTTATTTCTTTTTACTATTCTCTATCTTGACTTTATTGTTTTTTATTATTTCTTTTTACTATTTTCTATTTTCATTTTATTATTTTTTTTTTTAAGTTTTTCTTTCTTGTCTTTTATATTTTTATACTCTATATTTTCTATTCTTTGCTTTTAGTTTTCTTTTCTTTCTTTTCTTCTTTTTTCTTTTATTCATATTCCTTACCCTCTGTACATTAAGACAGGTAATATATAGTAGTTAATACCCCAAGAGTTTCTATGTTACAATAGGTATACAAGATATAACCAGGTTAGCCAATACTTGTAACTTAAATATTAGCTTTTTGTAAATTTTAATATTTTAAATAAATATTATAAAGTCTAATAAAGTGAAAACAAAATTGTTAAATTGTTAATATATATATATATATATATATATATATATATACAGTTGCATCACTTTAAATATATACCCCTTAGAACTATAGTGAAAAAAAATGCAAAATGTGCATTTAGGAAGATTAAATTTTATAATTGTTATATAAGTTGGAACCAAGCAGGGGCGTGCATATTAGAGAAGTTTTTTATATACCATACACTTGCATTTAGAGAGATCTGACTATATATAAAATTATTAAATTTAGTTTAGTAATTATTAAAATTTTTTAATTTAAAGTTAAAAAACTTTATTTAGAAACTTTTTACCTCTTTTCTACTAATAAGCCCCATATATATTTATTTTTATAAAAGCACAACCTCTTTATAAGCACTTTTTAAAAAAAAATTTATATAAACTTAATTTTATAATTATATACTGTATAAAGATTTACTATACTATATATATATAGTTGTACTTCTATATAATCACCTCCTATATAATTATACTATATAAAAACTTCTTTTTATCACATTTTATACTCAAAAACAAATCACTATTAAACTTATAAAAAACTATTTCTTTATATATAAGCACAACCCACTTTTTTTTAAATAAAAAAACGTATTATTGCTTAAATAAAATATACAGTATACAGTATAACCTCGATATAACGAAGCTCTGTAGCTGGAGGTTTTCTTCGTTATATCAAAACTTTATTAATAGTTTCGTTATATTAGGGATAATTTAAACATAAAAATTAGAAATAATCTTCGTTATCGTTATATCGAGGTTCGTTATATCGAGGTTATACTGTATAATTAACAATTGGCTTATTTTTTATTTAATTATTAAATAATAAGCAAAAATAAATTTGAAGGTAAGTGTTTAAAATTTGAATCCATGTTTAGTTCACGCAAACTACAAGATCATTTATTATTGAATTATCTAAAATATTTTTTGCAAATTTTATTAAATCGAGATCTGACATGCATGTGAACAATTTTTATTTTAATGTCAGCCAAAATTAGTTTTAAAGCTGGCATGGCATTTATACTTATGCATATCGGTATATCGATATCGATACGTATAACGTATATCTGAACGGAGAACGTTAAAGTTATCCAACTGCCAAAAACGTATATATAATTAATATAAAATATAACCTATCTGATCCACATGTAATACCTTGTCCGTATAAAAAACTTTTTGACCCAATTATAGCACTATCTTTTTACGTTTAAAAAGTCGTTCTATTCTTTTTGAAAACGAAAAAAATGTCGTGGCAAACATATATTGATGATCATCTCATTGCAACTGGGAAGATCTCTAGGGCCGGCATTTATGGCCATGATGGTACTTTGTGGGCGGGTTCACAAAATTTCACTGTAAGTGAACAATATCCGCGAAAAAATTATTTTTTCTTAGTCAAGTAATGATAAATCAAAAAACTATAATAACCTGTTAACATGTTTATTATTGTTTTTATTCTAATATACTAGCCGAAGCCTGAAGAAGTCAAAATTATCATTGAATCTTTTGATAATGCTCAAAAAATTCAAGAAAGTGGAATACATTGCAATGGTGTCAAATATTTTGCACTTTCTCATAATGAACAAAATCTTCATGGCAAAAAGGTCAAATCAAGGATATTAATCTTTTCTGATTACCTTGTATAATAATCAAATCTCATTTTAATAGGGCACCGCTGGCATTATTGCCGAGAAAACAGCTCAAGCTGTTATTATTGGGACTTATGAAGAAGGTACAGCGCCCGGTGAAGCCAATACAATCATTTGGAAATTAGGTGAATATTTAAGAGGTGTAGGTTATTAATGAACCTTGGCCAATAGTGAAAAAATCGGTTATAGCTTAATTTTCGGCTTAGCCGGTCGATTCTATTTCTTTGATAATAATTCACGTATAAGCTTTTGATCATTACAAAAAATAGTTTTTTTGTATTTATATTTATATTGCGAATAGCAAGTAATAAATTGTTATAATAACGTCGATGAACTTTAAATAAATTTTGTTCCTGAAGTTACTTGTTTCTGGAAACTTAGGCTGCTCACCATCGTGACTGGATAGAAATTAGATCTAGATCATAACTCTCATTGAAGCAATTATAGGATTCATTAAAGTTAGTTTTGCTATTATAACTTATTAGAATCAAATTTGCCGGCATACCCCGTCGATAAAATATAATGACATACTTTGTTGTTTACATCAAGGTGTTTAAAGAAACAATTTTAATATCGATATCGATATATAAATATTTTTTTAATTTATCGTCAATCCAATTGTGGCAAAAATAAATCGTCACTAACGCTAATACAGGAATAATTTCTTAAACGAGTTCAGGTTATCTGATATGCATAATAGCTTTATGATTGTGCATGTTAAAAATTGAATTCAACCGCTTTTAATTTGAAAATTGAATATGCGCTAAATGGATTCAGAATCATAGTTCGAAATTCTTTAACGATTGTGAATCAACTTAAGTTGATTCTAAATCTAGCATGATTCCACTCCGAAATACATCTAACATACCATTTTAAATTGTTCAATTAGTTCTTTTAAGATATATCGAATATATTTTGATTAAACATTAAAAAAACATGATTTACAGGTTTTCTTTTCCGTTACTCATATAAGATGTGACAAATTGTTAACCCTCTCACCCTAAAAAAAATTACGATTTCTCTTATTTTTTTGTTGACTTTGTAACTTGATGCTTTTATTATTATATAGTTTTTAAAACATATCTCCATCGGACAGGGTTGGCAATGGACTATTTCCCGTAAAAATAATTCAATGGATATTAATGGATCAATGGATATTAATAGATCAATGGATATAATGGATCAATGGGTATTAATGGATCAATGGGTATTAATGGATCAATGGGTATCAATGGATCAATGGGTATCAATGAGATATACAGTATGTCCATTAATCCATTGATCCATAATACATGACTTCGATTATATAAATTTATTTGGTTTCTGGCATTACTTGTATGGAGTTTGGATCAATCCTGATAAAAATCCTGACAGGGTCAGAATCCCGGTAAAGTTAGCCAGGAGACCTAAACCCACTTATATGTATGCCTATCATATTGTCCATTAGTTCATCTTTTTTGGACAAATTTGCCAACCCTGAAATTCAGAGATATTCAACCAACATACGAGATTACACGAGAGTAATATGTTTAATAACGATTGATCGTGTAACCGATCTACTATATTTGGGTCAGTTTCCATATTGATAACAAGACTTTTATGATATCTAGATGTCAGAATTCGACTTTAACGAACATTCGCATCGTCGCTATAACCCATTAACAAATTCTTGGGTCTTATGCTCCCCACATCGAACCAAAAGACCTTGGCAGGGTCAACAGGAAACAGCTGATAATGAATCGTTACCTAGTTATGATCCGAGCTGCTATCTTTGCCCAGGAAATAGACGTGCACAAGGAGATACAAACCCTGAGTACCAAAACACGTTCGTCTTCACTAATGACTTTGCCGCCGTAAAAAGTGATCAACCTCAATTTCTTCATAAAACTGACGGTTCGTTCTCTAATTTAAAGCGATTTTTCTCAAGTGTTATTGTACATATTCTTTTATTTATTTTATTTTTATTTTTTTTACCTCATATTCATTTAATTTTTTAATTTTTTTTTTTTTTTTTTGTTAAGACAAATTCACTTCCTTACTAATGGCCGAAGGTGTCAGAGGAGAATGTAAAGTTATGTGCTTTTCTCCAAAACATAATATCACCATTGCTGAAATGTCAGAAGATGCCATCATTCCCGTGATTAAAGCATGGATAGAAGTTTATCGAAATTCTTTTTCTATACCTTATATTAATCACGTACAAATTTTTGAGAACAAGGGCGCAATAATGGGATGTTCCAATCCTCATCCCCATTGCCAAATTTGGTGTACTGAATCAATTCCTGAAGAGCCTACCAAAGAAATTATTTCCATGACAAAATATTATGAAAAAAATAATTCTTGTCTTTTATGCGATTATGTTCTATTAGAAACGGTAAAGTTAAAAGATAAATCAAGAATAGTGTGTGAAAATGATTCGTTTGTATGCGTGACACCATTCTGGGCGATATGGCCATATGAGACCATGATAATTGCAAAATCTCATGTAACAAGTTTGATTGAATTGGATGGAGAAAAACAACTAAGTGATCTTGCGGACATTATTCGTAGGATTACATGTAGATATGATAATATATTTAAATGCTCTTTTCCTTACTCTATGGGAATTCATCAAGCACCTGTTGATGAAAAGGATCATTCACATGATTCGCATTTGCATTTACATTTTTATCCTCCGTTATTGAGAAGTTCATCTATTAAAAAATTTTTGGTTGGGTAAGTCATTTTATTTTATTTTATTTTTTTTTAGGTAATTAAACGTCTCTTTACAGAATTTTGTTTTCATTAAATATTAATTAAATATTAATTAAATATTAGATATGAAATGCTCGCTGAACCACAACGTGATCTTACACCTGAACAAGCGGCTGATACATTGCGCAAATGCTCTGAAATCCATTATAGACAAGAAAAATAAACAATAATTATTTTATAAAGAATCACAAATAATCTTAGTTATACATTAACCGACATGATATGTTATTCGTAAATTAGAACTTAGAAGTTAATAGTAAGAAGTTAATAGTAAAAACTCATTTCTTAATTTACTAAGGCTCACGCATTTATTTCAACTTTTGTCACTGAGATAACATGCTCATATTCTTACAAAATCACAAGTCAGAAAAGTCCTTTTGATAGATAAATTATTTAATCAAATATATACTAAAATTTACATTTTTAAATTACTTATTTCCTATCACTTTTATGTTTGAAATAAATAATAATCATTTTCCATATACATTAAGATCCATTGTTGGTGGCATCCAACGATGAGTAAATGTCGGGATTTGTGGCTGTAGTTGAGGTGCCATTACATTGTTATTTTGTTTTTTAGTTTTGGACTTCATAATGGCACCCGGTGGTCCACCTAGTTTTGATGCTGAATTGTCTCGTATTGGTGGTGACTTTGGTCGTAAATTTTCAATTTCTGAGAAAAACCATTGTAAGTTAGAGCGATTACATGAATAAAACTTTTAATATGTATATAATAATAATAATTACCCGTTGTTGAAACAAGTAAATGCCCACTAGGCTCATTGAAATACGATGCATACGTAGTTGCATCGAAATTCGAACTTGATAAACCAGTTCCGATAGTTAACCAACCTGGTCGAATATTATGGTCCTGTAAATAGCATTAATGTTGATTAAATTTTTCTAGGACGAAATTCTGAGTACAAAATTTACCTTTCCAAACAATTCAAGTCTTCTGCGCCCTAGACAAAAATGTTCTATAATGTGATATAATTCTTCGGGTTTAGCAGTGCCTACTATAAAATAAAATGGGAAACGACAAGTGATTATGTGTAAACCATGTAGGCATCGTTTAAAACGATAATAAAGCTTGATCACAAACTCCCGAAAGATGGTTCTTCGGATATAATAACATCTGTATCCACGTTGCAATGAATAAAATGTCCATCTGTGCTGCGTCGAACTGTACCCCTAATGCCCATTATACAGTGTTCTTTCGTGTGTTGGAAAACAGATCTAGGTTCAATGAAACGACTTCCCTAATTATTGTTATTTTGATATATGTTTCAAAAATATTCTAGTCTAATGAATTATTAAGAGCCGTTAATAAAATTTAATTACTTTACCTCCCATTTCTTATTAGTTTTAATCCATACAATATCCTCACATCTGCGATATCCCCATTTGAGGAGTAACTGTCGACCACGGTCAAGTCCCTCTGAATCTCCAGACCAAATGAAAATAAATGAAGGATTTGCTGCTACGTCTTCAATTTTAAGATTGGCGTATGATAAGAGTTAAGTTAATTAAAATAAAAGTATATGCGTAAAACTTGAAAAACAAACAACTATCAAAATAAGGATATTATTTCATCGTAAGACCAATAATCAGGATTTGTGCCTGCGATCAATGGTGATTTTCTACAGTATCTAAAATTGTCAAGTTGAAATTCTGTCAAGCAAATAAAGACAAATCCGATCAAAAATACATATATAGCAAAGAAAAAAAAAGAAAAGATATCAACTCTTCCAAAGGTGGATCAATCAAAATAACATCGAATTTAACTCCAAGAGATTTAAGATCAAATGTTCGAAGATCAGCTTTTAAATAAGTTGCTGGTGTTGCCATATTTGCCACCAAAGTGTCCTTCATTTTTGTCAATTCTTTGAGTTTAGGATATCTAGACACAAAACATTCCCCAAGCTATATTATAAAATAATGTAACATATTTTTGTTCTTTAATAGATATAGGTACGATTTGTGACTTACTCATCGAAACGTTGAGATAGTTCAGTATCACGAATGAAATTTTGAGGGCGACGTCCAGAATCAACAAAATATTGACAATAATCATTTCTAATAGTTTTTTCACCTTCTTGACCCGATGTCTGTTGTTCTCCCTGTTGTTGTTGACTTTCTGCCTTATTTACAGAAGTATTAACTTGCAAAGTAACTGGGAGCGAAACTTTAGGCATTAAAGCGAATTCTGCTGATTGTTTGCGTTTATTGTCTGTTTCGGTTTTCTGTGTATGTTTAGTGTTTGAAAGCGATGTATCTATATTCGAATCAAATGCATTATTATGCGAATTCTGTCCTAGTTCTCTAGCTTTTATATTATTTGAGAAAAATTTCTTAAATTCTTCAATAGAGTTTAATTGCAATTTGCGGCGTTTTTGACGTTCACGAAGTACTGCAGTGAGCCGATTATGTGACTCCTTGAAAGATTGAATTTGTTCTTCGATGCTTGAATTCATAATTTCGCATTAACGTTAATTGAATTTGCAATTCAATATTAGACATATATATAACATCAATATGTTTGACAATCATTTAAAGTTTTATGCAGATTATGCAAATCAGGAGTTATTATATAAAAATTATCAGTTAGCAAAAAAAAAAAATTGTTTCTCCATCTCGCCCACTTAGTCGTTCACTATACTCACTGTATATAATCAAAGGACCATTTATTCAGTCATCGCAAAGACTATAAACATTTCTTTTCGATTACAGGAGTACTAAAGTTATTTTTTAATCATGAACGATTTGGACGAGATCCTGGACTTTGAGGAGGCAGTAGATTTTAATTTATCCGATAATCCTGAAGTCCTTGACGTTGAAATATTAGATGAGGATGGTTTATTTAACCTTGGTGATGAAATAGGCCTTGAAAACAGTAAACAACCAGATGAAGGTAAGTCTTTAAAAGAATTTCAACATGCACTGATGATGGCGACATGGTGGCATCTAACCTTCATTCAAATAAGGGCCCATTTCGTTAGAGGACACCAAATATGGTGATAATAGCAAGACTCAGAACAGTGGACAACTCATAGAGCTAGATAATAACTCAAGTGGCACAACACAACCACAAATAGAGCACTCAGAGGATGTTACTGAATTTAACTTGGATGACCCTGATTTCCTCAAAGATTACGAAGATACAAATGGTGGAATAGATAATGAAGTGAACATTGATGAAGAATTTTGGAAAGGATTAGATGTGGATCCAACTGATACTTCGGGCAAAGAAGGCAATAAAGAGTCCGATTTATCCGAGAAACTTGGAACAAACAATTCTATATCTACATCACCCTCAAAAGAGAACACACTAAAATCTTCATCAGATATTGATGTTACTAATGACGGTAAAAAATCAAATGTATCTAATAGTGGGAAATCTGTGACAAGGAAATCGAAATCACCTGAAAAAGAAGACGGTGAGATTATCAATCAAGCATCTTCTACTGATAATAATCGACAAGCTCAACAACAAAAGCAAACACAATCGCAGCAACAATCTCCAGCGCAAAAGCAAACACAGCAGCAACGAGCATCACAACATACACAACAACAATCAAACCATCATCCTCAACAAAATACTCAGAATTATAGGGGACGAGGTGGCAGAAGAAATAATGATTGGAACCAAGGAAACGTCGGTGAATTTTTTAACGGAGGCATGTCAACTTTTCGGTCAGGATATGGACCAGGCTTAGACGGAATGTCAGGGTATTTTTCAAATTACTTTATTTATAATTAGACTCTCTTTGCATGAGAAAATTATTCCTTTGCCAAAATTTTTATTAATTTAATTTAATTTAAAGAATTCCGATTGGACAAATGTCAATGGGTAATTCATCTATGATTCCGAATTTATCTAATATGCCTGGTAGGGTATTTGGAATTATCATTGTTTATGACTCCAAACAAATCATTCATTTCATTTTTATTTTATATTTTGTTGAGAGGCGCATTTTATCATTTTTTTAAAAATATATCTCGTAGAAACTTACCAAATAATGACTTAATCACCGTTTTTCTTCAACCGGGTCATGTAAGGTCCAATGATTGGTCCTAATATTCATGTTAATCCGAATTTTGCCAGATTACGGCCGCATGCACTGCCATTTGTAAATCCCATGACACAATATCACATGGGCGCTGGTGGACATCCGATGAACATGATGCCGTTTCAAGGACAGATGGAAATACCACCTTATCCAATGGGCGGACGCGGAAACAATGCATTCATCCCGAGAGGCGGTAATCCTGTTTTCGGTCATCACAATAATCCAATGTCATCACGTAAACCTGCAAATCAACAGTCAAACGCGCAAAGAACAACTCAGGCAATTCCTCCCAAACGCAAGGCACCAAATGATGGATTCGATCAAAAAGAGCAAGATAACAAAAAAACCGCTACTACGAATGGTAAATCTCAAGCTTCTGAAAACAAATCTACTTCATCTCCACAGAAAAACGTTGATCGAGCCAAAACGTCTTTAACGACCACTACCGCGAAGAATTCATCAAATTCTATACCAGAGAAACCGTCCAAACTTGGGATCTCATCACCTACTACAAATAAAGCTCCTGCCACAAAGCTTAAACGACGTACAGACACATTACCTTCTGAGTCCACATCGACTTCAAAATCTACGCAAGATTCCAAGTCAACTATAAAATCAGTACCAAAAAATACACCCAATTCTTTATCTGAAGTTGTTCCTTCAAAATCCCCTACGACAAATGCTAGCGGCCCGATGACAAATAGTTCAAACAAGTTGACAATTGATAATATTGATGACCGTGTGAATAAACGAGAGCTTCAGACCATGGCTGGTAGCGTTCCAGGTGGATTTACGGTGCGTCTCGTTTAATAAAATAAATTTATCTACACGATTAAATTTATATTTATGTGAAAAAAAGCTCACTAAATTCTCGTTTTTAATAGTTGGTTACGGTGGATCGTGTAGCTCGCTCGGCAGAAATTACCTTTAAGACAGTTGAAGGCGCAAAGATGTTTAGGCGAAAGTACAATAGGTTTGATTTGTTTTTACTCATCTCGAACGCATCATTTCATGAATCTGCATAGTCTTATATGCTTCGTCTGTTATAATAGGAGTGTCCTTGGCAAATCTAATATCATCATCAATTTCTCTTAATCAATGTTAATTTTGACGATGATTATTATGGCAATTTTGTAACTTCTTTTATTATTATTACTTCTTTTTCTTTCCTTTCTCTTTGTTTTGATCTCTTTTGTAGGTGTTCCCAAATGAATAATGATGGATTTTGCAATTGGAGGGTTATATGTATCTTTTTTTCTTTTCCATCAAATTTTAGTAAATTATGATTATAACGAAAAATTATTAGTAAAAGGACTTTCTAGATTCGAAGTTTTATTAATTTTGGTTGTAATTTGTCTTTGTAGAGAATAGAAATGAAATTTAAATTTTTTTTTATTATTATTAATATGGATTGGCATTTGATGACATTAATCATCTTTTGACGTCCAAAATTTCAACAAAGATTTGCAATAGTCGAATTTACCTGATTTTTACGAACACAAATTTTTTGTGCAGCAAGCATGCATTTGTATATAGAGCATAATATTTAATGAATCCATTCCGCAAAGTAACGAAATGTTACTAGTATTTAAGTATTTATTAATTTTTGTACATTATTTAATAAAATTGAATTGCGTATTCATCATAAATTTAAAATACTTAGTGATTTGATGAGTAATTTTGTATACATTATAAGATAATCTTTACAAGTTTTATTATTAAAATAAGATGATTATAGTGAGATTTTCGTTTTTTTTTATTTGGTGATACGTACACCGATTTTATTTGCAGTGTTAAATAATTCAATTAGCTAATAATTTACAGAAGATTTAATTATTTTGAATAATGCTATAATTTTCAAGAATTTTATAATTTACCGCCATAGCGATGTATCGCTACGGTCCTATGTACGTACGTATGTACGTAAGTCAAAATCCCGAAATTTAATTGTCACGTCAGGTGATGTCGAGTTCTAATAAAACCCGCGTTAGTAACGTTTGAATATGACAAAAATCTGTGCCAGGTTTTGTCGATCATATATCACATGGTTATTTTTTGGTTACACGATTCTGCAATACCCATAGTACACTCGCAGTACCCATGCATGCTCGTGTAACTTCTTATATTTGTGCTTCTAATAATGTTTTCAAGTTCGCATCCCAGTGGTCTATAATTTTATATCAGCTGTTGGCGTATATTTCTGATCTAATAAAACTTCAGAGCCTTCATTTTTTTTCAAAAACCAAGCTAATTATAACGAAAACATAAAGATGCCGTAGTTGTATTTTTTAAAATTTATTATAAGAATTGTTATCTCGATATCAATATGTTCAATCAAAATAACCCTGTATCTTTAAAAGACTACAATCTTCAAAGAAAAATAAGGTATATGAAGCAAGTTTAAAACTAAGCAGTATTATAAATTAGATCGTCGCTCTAACAGAATTTTTCTTAATTTATTGAATTTTGATTTGAAATAAGCATTATCTAATATATAAATTTGAATAGTTTAACAATTTTAGTTTAATATAAAAATTTATTTAGATCCATCTATATTATGTATAATGATTATTTTTGTATGTCGTTAAAATATTTGAGTTTTCACCTTCAAATTAAATTTCAAAAAGTAAAAAACATCAATCAATTATATATAGTAATGAATGTGTATATTATCAATACAACTTTGGAATTCCAATTTAAATCATTATACTTATTATCTAATAATTTTCTAAGATTTCCTGATTTGTGTATTACATAACTATCCTATAATTACCATTGTTTGGATTCTCAGTTATTCTATAAATTTTCATTGCCAAATTACACTCATTTTTATATTTACTTTCAAAAAAAAATCGAAAAATAATGAACTATTATGCAAGCTAACATTATATTAGTATAAATATGATATCTAAATACTTTAGAACATTAATTTGACTAATTTTTTTTAATATTCTGACTAAGATTATGTGCCCTTTTACCAACTATTTGAGCTTTATGTGCTGGAATTACTTGAGGATTAATATTCTCTTTATTAATTTTTTGGCACTTTACTGATTCAACTTGGACAGATTTTTGTACTGCTCTTTATTCATATAAGTGGATTAGTGTCATGATTTGTATTATAAAAGAATAATGTTAATGCTGGAATAGATCTAGATTTTGTTGTATTATATTGTTCTGCAAACTTCTCAAGTACAAGCTAGAGTTGAAATCCACCCTTTTTATAATTATATTTGATCATTTCAATAAATGACTCAAAAAAATCTGGATTATTACTAAAAATAAATTAACTTTTAGTCATTTTATTAAATTTATAAAAAATAATAAATTATACATACTGTACTCTAAAACTATAATTTAGTCCATATTAAATTCTTCTGATTCTCAAGTTTCATGATTTATATTAAGTTTTTCTGACTTCTGAGTTTCGTGGTTTATATTAAATTCTTCTAACTTCTTAGATTCATTAGTCATCTGAGATATACTATTCAAAGATTTATTATTATTATACTCTCAATATTCATGCTTATTATTTGTATATATATGCAATGATATATAAAATAAAGGATTATTTGCCACAAGTTCTTGAAATAATATTATTAATACATTTATTATATTTAATTAGTCTAAAAGCTATTTAAATATTTAACTACTTACTATGTGTGACATACATAAAATAAGCATGATCATTTGGCATTAATAATTGAAAACAATTTAATAGTTCAATATTAAATCTTGTAGCTACTACACCTTGGTGTTTGCATGGTGCTCTAGATAACTCAATATAACAAGTATATGTATTAAGTTTAATATTAACTATATAAAAAATATTAGCCTCTATTTGACTTAGAACCAAAAATTCCATATCTGCTTTAGTTTGTTGAATTTTTGTTATATCAATTGTCTCCCAGCCAGGGCATAAAAAATGTTTAGCTATTTTAATATAACTTGGGTGACTATATACTATCCCAAATAACCTATATTCATAAAAATATTCCATACTATTAGTAATAAATTAAAATACTTGGATGCTATTATATGTCTATATGTGTACAAATATGATATCTTTTAATAATTCAAAGCTATGCTTTATATAGTTATTTGTGTTGTTTCCCTATATAAGAAGCCTAGTATGAAATGATATAGCTCAGAATTGTTGTTAATTCCATAGCAGCTCAAAGTGTCTTTGCAATTGCAAATATATAGGATAATAATTGGTTTTTAATTCATTGTAAAATTCTTTTATTTTACTTTTAGTTTGTGCATATAGTATTTTTCTTATAATATTCATTATAAATGACTTATGCTCTTTATTTATATTATGTTTTGTATTGTGTAGCCAATGCCAAAAGGCTTAGAGAACATGAAATATATATAGTAATCTTTGTGATTGAAGCTAGCAATTTCTTATTGTATTTTGTTTAGCACATGAATTATCTGTGAAAATAACTATTAAATCTATATTAGAACTACGACTGAAGAAGACATACTATGGAAAAAGTATCTTTAAAAGATTTATCAGTTATTTCTGATTTATCTGATATTACAATAATACCCAAAAGCAGTATATCTGCAATACAACTCATATACAACAAAACTATTAATATATTTAGTAGTTCAAAGGATGCTGATACATCCATATAACAGATCTCCTCTGCCTAACAGATTTTTTTATGAACATAATTTATCAGATTCATGACTATACAAAGTATGAAAGCATTGCCTAATTGTGAATTATACTCTTGAAATAATGCTTGACCTTGTCTTAATATATTATAATTTTTAACTACTTCTTTAAGTCTCTAAAACATTGATATTCCATTTTGTTCTTCAAGATGTTTGTCATGATACTGATTGAATAAATATAAAATATTCATAGTCTGGATTTTGTGCTCGATTTGCTAATAATTTCATAAGTTCTTGGTTATTACTTGTACTCAAGTAAAGATTATTTTTATAAAGATGTAAGGCTGTTGCCAGTGAATATTCATCAGTGAAAAGCTCAAGATACTTATTATATACTTCTTTTTTGACATGCCAAAAACTAAGAGATTTCGTACAATAAATAATGTGATTATGCATAAAATTAATATTAACTTCCAGTAGGTAAGTATTTTGGAGATGGCAATGCTCAATTTGAAGATGAATTATAGCTATATATCCTGTATTCTTACTATGTAATGAATAAGAATTTTTTAATATAGAGTTTCACTGTTTTTGTTTTACTTTATTGCTATGGATACAATGTACAATTCTCAAAAAATAACCTTTTTTTCTTGTATTTAAAAACCTTATATCTGAGATATGGTTGTTTTTGATGTCTCTTCATATTCAGTAAACTATTTTTTTGAATTTTTAATATTACTAACATTTATAAAAAAGATTGCTTTAAACTGATTTATTAAAAATCCTTCTAGTATAATATAATTGAGAAGCTGTTGAATCTCAGAAACTATATAATTATAATTTGATAGAAGGATAGCTGCTATATTTTCAGATAATAGTAATTGTTCTGATAGCTTAGAAAAATTATTTAATATTTGTATATCAAGTAATGGCTTAGAAAAATTATTTAATATTTGTATATCAAGTGATGGCTTAGAGTAATTATTTAATATTTGTATATCAAGTGATGTTTTCATTTTATTAAACTAAAATCATAAATAAAACACAAGACTTAGGCAAGTATTTTAAAAGAAAAGGTAATATGATTAATAAAAATAATAAAAGAGGTTTTTTTTTTATGATAGTTAATACTCTAAACAAAAAAAAAAACAAATCCATTTCTAGAAATTATTTTGTATTTTATTTAGTAGTAAGATTTAAAATTCTTCTGCAATATTACGTATATATATATACACTATATAAATCAAGGTTATTTATTATTACTTTGAAAAATCTTTTACTATACTTATTTTCTTTTAAACCAAACCTCTTTGTTTTTAGTTAGATCTGAGTTGAAAGGTTTCATTAGCTTAGTCAAGTAACTTATCTGTCCCCTTACCCAAGTCTTACTTTAAATAAGAAGACTATTAATTTTTAGATTAATTTAGGTTTATTGTAATAAAGTTTCTACTATGATATTATATTAATAA